GTTCACTGAAATTAAGGGCGAATAATTCAGGAAGACTGGGGTAGCACCTTCGCTACCCACAGAAAATCAATTTGTGACGATTTTAGAAAACAAATGTCATGAAATGTAACAGGAAAAGATGTCTCCGAGATATCTAGTTATACACCCGTTTATGCTATAGGCTAAGAAACCATGCTCTTCAAAATTGAATACAGTGGCAGGGGCAGCAGCGTTGACATTGAAATTGCTCGATCTACTGTTGGGTCCTGGCACTGACTGCTCAGCTGAGCCCCGGTACTCTCCCCAGGCTGCGCCTCCTGTCCACCACAGCCTCCACCTGCCTTATTAACACCCGGGCACACACGAAAGGCGTGCAGCCCATCTGCGGCACTGCTGTGGAGGGTCAGGCCTGCACAGTGTGTGCATCCTGCTCTGGTGCCACTGCCTACTAAAGGAACACGGCACAGCTAAAGACACTGGTGCTTGGACACAACACGCTTGGTCCAAAGGTATGACATGCTCAAGGGAATGCCCTATGCCAACCGGCTAAAGGAACTGAACCTTCTTAGACCAGAAGAGAGAAGACAACAAGGGTGCCCGATACAAGTACTCAGTGTCACATGGCATTGCTTTATCACAGGTGTGGAATCACATCAGGATAGCCCTGATAGTAATGGCATTGCTCCCTAATGGTAACTTAAACCCTTAAGTATTTCACAATGCATGTCATTTGATCTCGGATTGTACCCTCCATTCCAGGCGCTCGATGGCTGATGTCTATGACCTGCGCCTGGGCTTGTCTGGAGGAGAGCTCTGCACTGACATCGATTTAACTAAATCCCATCTGCTACACATTTTACAGTCTTTCCATGTTAGGAAACACAGTTGCAACTACACATTGCAAAAATATTATGCCTTGACTCTTAGAATCCAAATTCTTTTCAGTCCCATTAAAGAAAATCCATTAAATGTTTTTTTTTTGCAAGTACACAATACCATACTATGGTATCCAGTGCTCCAGTTCAAAAGAGGGGTCCAGCTTCTGCTGGTTAAATAAGTAAACCAAAGATTAAATAAAAGTATGAGACAAAGTTTAAAAATTGAATGACTTGTTGTATTACCATCGATGAGGAAGCAAGCCAGCAGACTGGACATGCAGTGAAAGAAATTATTTCAAATTCTCACATTAATAACACATATAACTGTATCATGAGATACAGTATTTTTTCTGCATTTTTCCATTCTGTTTTTCATTTTTCTCCAACACTTTTTCCCATTACTGGGAAACATATTGATATTTTCTTCTTTTTTTTTTCTTAGAGGCCTTTTGTAATTCGTCGGCAATGCACCTTAAAAGTGGTTTCTCTCTACTGAGATAAACAGATAAACAGATATTGAGTGCTCAAAAACATTCCCTACCTTGGGTTTTACATTTGCCACTTGAAACCACTGATTCAATCCACCCACCCTCCCTTTGTCAGAAAAGCTGCATATTCTTGGCAATGTTTGTAGCGACAATTTGCTTCAAAATCACCTGGCAGAAAGCAAACACAATCGCACATAGACACGTTTATTACAAATAAAATCCCACAATTTTCGTTCTGTAGTTAAATGATCAAGAAGGAATTGCTGGATAACAATATCTGATTATGAAATGTCCTGAAGGTCATTTTAAGTTATATTGAGTTTTGTCTTAGATTATCTTATTCAATTTCTATTGCACTATTATCTATTATTACGTAACCTTATCTTGCAACTTTAATTTTGTGATTTTTATTCTCCCCACCCCCGCTGACCTCATAGAAAAGACATTTCACTGCCAGCAACTACTGCTGCACACTGTATTGTTGTGCTTTTGATAAATAAACTTTGATTAATTGATTGATTGATTTTCTCTGGCAGTGGTGAATGGCCTGCTAGGGCCCCAAACTTCTTTACAGTCTGTATACTGTGGTTTTCAGTGCAAACTGTTAAAAAAATTAATTACACACAATTCATCGGCGGTGGGTCTGGGAAGAAATCACATCCCCTGAAAACTGAGAGCTACAGGAGCTTCTCTGAACTGTGAGTGAAGGCTGTAAGCACACACATTAACTCATCCGTCATGCCGATTTTTAATCACCAATATCAAGGAGTTTATATAGTATATGTGAAGCCTGTTTAACATTACTGAAACCTGACAACACCCCTGAGGTTTATCCTGACTTCTGTGAATCTGAGGCACACCTGGACACGTCTGGAGAAGCAGCTGCATACGAGGTAATTAACATGAAAGGGAAAAATAAAAGACCAAAATGTCAGAACCGCTATTGAGCAAAATGAGTCCCAAAGGATTTATAGCAATTCTACATTATGTATATAGTGCCTTGCGAAAGTATTCAGACCCTTGCAGTTTTCAAATTCTGTTACATGAAAGCTTGAATTAATGACACTTTGAAACAGAAATTAATGTCTTATGCAAACAACCTCCACATGTAAAAACCCCCCAAAAATAGAAAACCTGAAATAAAAAATGGAAAAGTCATGACTGAATTAGTCTTCAAATCCTTTGCTGTGTCAAACCTAAATCAATTACCTTAACAAGCTACACAATTAGTTGAGTGGCCTCTAACTGTGTGCATTCACATAATTTCAGAATAAATACACCTGTCTTCAGTCAGGTAGTGAATGTTAAGAAAAGATTGCATCAAGACAAAAGAGCTTTCAGAGCAACTCAGAAACACAGTTGTAGAAAGACACTGGTCAAGAGAAAGATATAAAGTTTCCAATCACTTAAGCAAAAATGTTCTAGCTACAAATAAGAACACATCAGGTGAACATGTTGTATGATGGTGCTTTAATGCTGAAACATCGAAAAGAGACACTACTTCCAGTCAGAGAGACAACAAATTTGCACTAGAGATTAATGTATGCAACTCACATTTGCCAAATCTTTTTGAGCTTGGTTCAAGAGATGTTTTTACAGAGGAAAGAAAAAATTCAGAGGGCAAACTTGCGGATGTCCTTAGTTGTATCATGGGGGACTTAGTGAGGAATATTCTTAAGCAATATTAATATTAATTCCTTGCCAGTTCAGCCACTCCAAAAGGCTAGAGCTCCATAACAGCATCTCACTTTCCCTACTGACCTTGCCCGGTGGCAGTAATTGCTTGCTTTCACTTATTCATGAATCGACCAAACCACAGCTCTCTTGGGGCACCAAAAAAAAAACATTAGGGAAGACAAAAATCATTTTTTTCAAACTGGAACTGTCAAAACGATGAACAGGGTGGAATAATCTAAAGCAAACATGGCAACAGTGCAAGGAAATATTTTTACACTGCACATCCTTTAAGAAAGGAAGACAATGCAGAGAGATTACCATGCAAGAGACAGGCACATGTTTATAGAAACGTGTTTTTAAGAATATATCTGATAAAGTGCCGAGTCCTTTGATTTGTTCAATGCTGTAGCATTACTCAGCAACAAGAAACATTCACAAGCTACACGATCTTCACAGCCAGCTTCACAGATCTGAGGGGGCAGAAGCAATGAGGATGTCTGACCAGCTCTGCTCTGCAAGGCTGCTGTACTTCACTGGCCCAGACCTCTTCAACAGTGGAGCGCAGTGACAGAAAACACCTTCAGCCAACTGGTGTTAGAAAACGTGGCTTGCAGCATACAGGCCCTTATCGAGATTTACCATGATGAACATGCTCACATGCTTTATTTTTTACCATGCTTGATCATTGATGTGTTCTTCTCGTGCAAAGTTTCCAAATTTTACATTACCCTGACCTCACTGGGCCTTACTACACCATACTCTGCTTTTACCATGATTACTGCGGGCCTTACTACATTAAACTCTGCTTTTACCTTCATCACACCATCCTCTGCTTTTACCTTCATCACTCTGGACTTAAATACAAGATACTCTGCTTTTACCATGATCACACTTAACCACAGTGTACTCTACCTTAACTGCCATGGTCAGTCAGTAAAATGGCTATAACATACCTCTTTTATAAAGGATAATAATCTGCAAATTTCAATATAAATATAAGCACTAAAAGAGCTTTCTTTTAAACAATTAACTTAAAACATGAATAAAAATACAGTTACCAACACAACATGGCTTCTCTTATCTCTACACCCTCTGAATGTTTATACTGCCTAAAAATATTCTTTGTCTCAAAGAAAAAAACAAAATGTATTATTGTGTTTTCACTTTTTTTACTTAATAATTACATAATGTTACTTCTTGGCATTCAAATATGTGCTGGCAGTTCAGCATCTGGAAACCCTCCAGAGCTTATTTTAATTTGATGCCTTCTTATGCGCTGAGATCTGACCTGAATCAAGGGGCTATGCGAGAGAAATTACTTTTCTCAAGAGAAGTAAGCGCAAAACCACAGAGGTGATGTCTTCAGACTTCTTGAACTCTTAAGACTTCAGAGTTACAGTAAGTACAGTATGTTTTGTGGCAATAGTTTAATGGAGGGAGGAGGGGAGCATTCTTCAAAGTGCTAAAAGATCATTCCCACATTTTTCACTACAGCATTCCAGACCTTCTTGTGAGAGAGAAAATGTTTTCAATTTTCTCCATAGGATTGGCAGTGCTGGTTATTTTGTAGTTTTGTAGTTCAACATTACACCTTTCAGTGTAGGGTCCTAGGAATTTGTGATCTAACAGTGGAAATTCATTCTAAAAAAAAATACAGACCAGCTGTAGGGAAAAGACTTGTGTGTCTAACCTCTTCCCACGCGGATGGGAGTTTATCAATGAAAATGAGCCCTCCTCGCGACTGTGTACAGTACGTCTCGGAAAAAACATGCTCCATTTGGAATCCGCTACATTGGAGTGAGGAATTTTAAGCCTGATTACACCATGAAAAGTTCCCTAACCTGGAAGTTTTGGAGATGACTTGCCAACCTCTTTTCAACATTTGATCACAGCAAACATCGAAAAACGCTGTTTTTAAGAACAGTCTCCCCCCCGATACATGGTGCACAGATGCGAACCGGCGATTGGGATCACTCACTGAAGGCAGCCACAGCCAGGACTAAAGTGACGACAATGGAAATCCAGGACACCCATAAGGCCTTCTTGCGGTAGCTCTGGGCTTCGTGGGGCTTCAGTCGAGTGCTGCTTTCTAGCAGACCTGCCGAGGGCAATGAAACAGTCATTAGCGTGTTGCAGAGCTGTACCATGCGTGCATCCGTATTTACAATTCATCCAATTAGCCACTCGTGCTCACCAGAAGAAAGCTTTGCTTAAGCAGAATTATTAGATATACCCACCAGATGCAATCTGGTGTGTTCATTGTTCTTGCGTCTGGCATTAGGTATTAAACTGATGTGCTGCCAATTGCTAACCTCAGTGTCTTTCAAGACACAAGGAGTAGATATTGAACTCAGCTAATTACTGTACAACCAATTAGCACTGTAGTGATGGCACAGACAGTATCTCCATATTATATCTGCATATACGTTTTTAAATATTGTCATAAAAATATATTCGTGATTTCATTTGTCTTTGAAAACAAAACTTTCGTTAAGCACTAGATGGACATGAATTGCAATAATCATATTATTAATATTGATTAATTTATAAATTTCAAGATTTCGATCGGTCACTAGGCAGGCGGGCAATTTCTCGAATTTAATGTGCGTTTTAATTACTTTCTCGCTTCGTTCTGCCAGCGTGACATGTCTGCATTAAATAAACGTGACTCTAAAAAGTGCGTCGGCGCTGTCTGGAATTTACAGAAGACGAGTACCTCGCCTCAAGCTGGTTTTGTATTCGCATATTTTAGTTGTTGAAGGGGGCGTTTTCGGCAGATTTGTAAATGACAAACATCTAAATGTTAATAACAATTAATCATTTCCTTCATTTCATATGATAAAAACGGGTTTCTATTTCGTATCACCACGGGATATGTATCTAAAACATTCAGAAAAAAAATCACAACGTAAAATTTTACATTTAAAAATGCCCTCCGATCTTCGTCCTGTTTATTTTATTCTTTTGTTCATCCACATTTGGACGCTCTGCTCCAAACTCGGCCCCGCTGTCTGTTAGGGAACCATAATGTTTCGGGCGGAAAGACTGGACTCGGGCAGCTTGCTTACACAGCTCTGAAAGTAGGACTCGTCTCAGGAGAGACCAGCAACGGGACTCCCATCAGCAGAGAGAGGAGCTGAAGTGCGAGATGCCAGCGGGAGAAAGTAAAAATGTTAAGTAACTTAGAACCGCCATCATTCCTAGACAGGGCATGAAATATAGACACCTCGACTGCTCAGACAAAAATATACTGAAAGCAAAATCCAAGAACTGTGCCATTGGAGACGTCTTTCCTCATGTATTCCTTTGTGCCTCTCCAGCCGGGAGGGGGCGCTATTCAAAAGACAGACCCGGACAACCGCAGGTGTGTTTGAAGGATTGTTATAGTAATTAATCAGCCTTTCTGCTGTTGCACAGCCTCGCAGTCTGCAAACCGAACCCAGGACTAAAATGCGATGCGAAACGAGAGTCAACAGTCCCTAAACGTGACGTAGGATGTCTGGTTGAAGGATGTGCTAAACAAAACCATATTTTTTTACCCGATAGATTAAAAGTTCGTTTCAAAATTGCTTCTTTGTCTTGAATATGTTGACCAGTAAAAACGCATTCTTAGGATTCGTAAGGTTTTCTTACCATTCTGTAAAAAGAGGAGAAATGCATCCGTACACACCAGGATATAAAGAAATATGTGGATTTGATGTATTAAATCATTTCTCCATCTACGTGATGCTTTAAAAAAACAGATGTGCGCATTTTCGGATATCATCGTACTCTTGCTTACATTCCGACTCCTTAATAATGGAATAGTAAGTAATTATACTTAAACAGCTCTTTTTATCCCAGCGCTCACCTGCGTGACCTGCAGCTGCTCCACTACACAGCAGATTAGGGGGAGGAGTTAAACGTTGCTTCACTAATTGAATTAATTGGGAATTTCAGGGAGGCCAGATTGTACAAACCTGAAGAGGCATTTAGCCTTAACACCGACATTAACCCCTTAAGTCTTTCAAGCAATGCCATCTAATCCGGATGATAACCCTCACAGCACAATGTTCCCTGTCAGCATTCTGGGGTACTGGTGCCACCTACTGGTCCACCAACACATTACATTTTTTTCTCAAAACACTGGTATGCAAGTAAATCCCTTGATTAAGAGCCCTATGTATCTTATCTTAAATCATCATAGAAAGGACTTAATCAATGCTCAATATTTATTTAAAAGGGTACCCTCTCTTTCATGCACAGAGAATTGCAAACTCTGATAAAAGAAAGAATTGCTCACTGCAATATTTGACATAAGATGGCCCAAGAGCCTGTTAAGCCACCTCACTGGTAAGGCTTTACGTATCTGTCGCCTATAGGAGGAAGCACAGGCGAGAGGAAACTGTCTCTTCTGCATGTTCAAACGCCTCTGCTTTAAGAACAATTCCATCAACAGATGGCATCAAAGCCATGCCTCTTGCCGTTTCCCAAGGATATTCAAATTGTTCTGCGGAGATTTTGTAAACCGCACAGGCTTTGACAGAGGCGAGGAGGAGAGGGGCCGCTGTCGCGATGACTGGATGAGTGAAGAAATATGACCTTGATCTCCTCGGCTCTCATGTACCTTGTTAAGCACGCCTCAGATTGCTTGTTCAGAGCATCAGACTTCATTATGTTCTGCTTTGCAGTGCCACACTTCCCCCAGCTTCTGTCCAGGGATGTTGTCTTGAATCTTGCAGCATCCACAGCTAAAACTAAGCCCTGAGCAGTCCTGTTCTTTCGCTTCCAGACAGCACTGAGTACCACTGCGGGCTACATTTTTAGGGATTTTTCAGTCAGAGGCAAATAGGACATAACGATGAAAGGTCTGTTTTGTTTCAGAGCGCACCGTTGAAACATTGCACGAGTTTAAGGGGTAAGACCCCAGGGCAGTGTCAAATCGTCTTCCTGTAAATAAAGTCAGGAACGTACAGTATATTTCATCTAGCCCCAGCCAGGAACACCATGAGAGGAACACTCAGGAACATAAGATAAAAATACGAGAATATTTAGTGAACTAGTCACTGGGTGAGTCGTATTAAAGTCGTATTAAAGGTGGGGCTGATTTGGGTTGTGGTGCCCCCTGACTGTGGAATTCCTAACCTCTTTTCAATCAGTGCTGCAGCCTGAACTGGAGTTTTTAAAATCATCCTTGAAAACACATTTACATAACACAGCCTTTTCTGAATCCAATTAGTCTCTAGTCCAATAATCTTTAGTCATTTTGTAGGCGTCGGTATGTTTTCTGTTCCTTATTATTCCTTTTGTAAATATCCCATATTTTTAATTTGATTTTTAAGGTGCTTTTTTGGGGCATGAAAGGCGCTTTGTAAAAGAGGCTGGCAGAGCTTGAGCCCGCAGTGTTACCTCTGTAACAGTGGCCTTGGCTGCTCATGCAGCTGGGAAATAACAGCATCTCATCAGGGAAGCAGGACTGGAAAGGACAGTAAGGAGCTGAGAGGCGCTGGTGTTGGGGCTCGGTGGCTCGTGTGTGCTCTCCGGTCTGTCTGGGCTGCCTGACAGGTGAACAGGACCCGGCTCAGGTGATGCCAGACGAAGCACAGCTGTGCAAGTGCATGTGGGGTTACCGTCTCTGGATGGTGTCAGCTACACAAGAACCACAATGTCTTTACTGGGGCACATCTAAATGAAAACACCAGGCTGATTCAGTACTACTACCCTGCCTTATCCCTTGTGCTTGAGTGCACCCACGCGTGTCCTGTGCACATACACATCTACGACAGTTTACAGCACCGGGAAAACATGAATGGGGGTAATGCTTTAAAGCATCACTTTAAATCATCAGATTTACCATCAGGGGAGGCTCGCCTGCAGATTCTCAAAGCTTTAAAGGAAAGGGCAAGCTGCATCTGAGGAATTCTTCAGAGAGTCACACCCAGTTCCTGCAGGCAGTGTGGGTACTGCCAACATTTTTGAAGAAGCATATCAGAGCTGTTTTCTAGCAGGCACAGGGATTTTGTTGACTTAGATATGGTGTACAAAATTTCCTCCACTGGAGCTAGCCAGTACTGATGTGCATAGTCAGCGCAAACACTGTCTTCCTGGAAAACACATGGATATGAGCAAAGGGCAAGATGGGAATGCTTGAGCCTGATGCAGTTGAGTTCTGCAATTCCTAGCGATGCTACCCCACAATACCCCTTTTCAAGACCACATAGCAATCATGAGGAATCATGCACTGATCATGCACTGCTACATCACTCCACACCCCAGAACCGCCATCCTGGAGGACGTTATACTGTACGTGCTCACTGGACCACGGTCCTTTGCTGAGGTTGTCATCTCAAGACCACAACTGAAACCCAGGATGTGACCTGTGATCGCTGTTAAATACACAGCGTGCCAGCAGGGTGATTACAGAGTCTTGCAGTGTCCTTCAAGACAAATACCTCAGTAGCTGCTCCTCCATATTACCACTTGGTCACAGATGGGATCATGTGAAAAGCACAAGGAAAAACTGGGTGAGATCCAGAGGACAATTCCGTTCCTTTTGGATTATGAGACTTTACCACCATCTGGCATATAGGGCACTGCACAATGATTTTGTTCAAAAAGCAATCTACAATATTTTGCAAATATTGTAAAGTTTCATTAGAAAATATTCTATTTTAAATACCAAAGACGATTTAGGCAGTGGAGGATGGAGGCTCACTTTTGGTACTTTTTTGTTTGGGGTGGAGTTCAGACATTAAATATTTACACAGATTTGCAGCTGCCCCAGCTGACTGCCAGCTTAGTCGAAACTGAATGCAAATCCCATTAAAATTGTGTAACGACAATGTGTAAAAATTACATTTGCCCCCAGACTGCTTGAGGTGTCCATGATCTTACTAGGAAGAGGCTATAACAGCCAATCACCGATGCTACTGCCTGGAAATCCAGTGAGTAACAGGACATTAGGATACATTTTGAGCACTTATTAAGGAAATAAATTACTCCTTTCAACCCAGCCTCTGTGCTTTCAGCTTCTTGCTCTGCACTTGCCTTCATGCAATGCAACAGCACAGTCCAAACAGCATTCATTTTTAGATTCATGACACTATCACACAAGCACGTTCTCAGAAAGGTACTGTATCTCAGCCTAATTTGTTGGGTTTCTTCTACTGTATGTGCTTCCTGCCTCATTAACTCTCTACCTGTCACTTCTGTCATCTTTAAAATGGAACCCTAACAAGCCCACTTCACATATTGGAGACGGCACAGAGACTGGCTGCAACCTCTCTGAAGACCTGCAGCCAGGGAGGGGTTATTCAAGCTCAGGAGCCCCGAGAAAGGGAACTGCTGAACCCAGAAAGTGAGGCATTTCACTAAATAGCTCAGCCCAGATATCAGCAGTCTGTGGCAGGGCCACATAGCCTCCCACACAATCATAATTAATACACATCTACTACTGAAATCTACTGAGTTTCTTTCCATTGTGTGGAGGAATATAAACTGATCGGACAGAGCCTAGGAGATTAAAATTTTGTATGGCTATTTGCACCGTGATTTATGGATGTAACATCCCAGGACTCACTTGCTGCCTTTATTTCAAATGACGTTCTATCAGACCATTCCACAGAGACACCCCCTGAACGGTGCGCTTGATCGATTTGCTATTGATGTCCATTAAGTGTGGACCTGACAGCTACTCATAAAAGCAGAAAGTTAGTCGATCGATATACAGTAGCATCCGAAAAGGCACAACCTTGGCATTGCAGTAATCAATAAAACTGCCCAGATACAGAACCCAGTTCTTTTCAAACATATAGGATGCTGATACTAATGTATGAACAGTTTCTAAATAACTCACGACATGATTTATTGTATGTATGAACGCTTGAATGTTTGCAGAGATAATCACCTGACAATATCTGGTGAGCCAAAGTTAGCTACAGTTATAATTCAGTTCTCCCTTTCCACATAAAGTTGCTTGGGCGGGTTTTTGGAACGAAAGCTCAATTGCAATTGATTTATTGCGGGATAATGTGCGTTTCTCCTTTTCATACAAAAAAAAAACTGCTGAAATGTTAACCAGCCGTTCGCTCCTTATGCAGCCAAGCATAACATATTCCATATATACCTGGGTCTAAATAATTCAAAACACTTTTCAAGCGCCGTCAATTCCGTTGTTTGCTCCTTATCTGTATTAGATCTCTAAACACGAACAATATGCTGGAGTTCACCAATTGTTATTGTCACACCAATGCATTGGTTTGTTTAAGCGGTTTACCTCGATTCTCCACTCCGTCACGGAACTGCACGCTTTCGGTTATTTTCATCTGCTGATCCAGGTCCATGTTGAACGAGTCTCCCCGGCTTCCTCTCTTGGGTGGGTGCAGGTCTGTGGGGGCACACTGTCCGTTTTGAGCTGCGGGATTCACGACGGCGGGTTCCGGAGCAGTACAGAGATCTGGAGCCGAAGAGTCGGTCATCGTTAGGAGTTTAAGTCAAAACAAACAGCCGCTCAAAATATGTCGCACCAGGGCGAGAAGAGTATTTCTCCACAGCGAATGGAGAGAGCCGTAGAGCGGGCTTTTTACAGACCAGGAATCAGAGCAGTCGTCGCCGCATCAGCATCAGACCGACTCCTCCAGCACGGACTTGCTAACTAGAGAACAAGGACTGCAACAAGCAGTCTCTAATTAAAAATCCAGGGTCGTTAACGAGACCTCTGCACTGGGGGTGCGCTGGTTCCGAGGACAGAAGCCTTAAAGGGAGCAAGGCAGCGAGTGGCCGGCGAGAGTTGCGCTCAGACGAGCTGCTGCTGTTTTCTTCCAGGCGATGCGCTATGCTACCGTCCCAGGTGGCGAGAGTGTCGACGACTTGTCTGTGTGCGGCGTCAATCACGTTTGTGGCTACCCAACACGTGTAAGAAATTAAAAAAAAAAACCGTGAGAAAAATTACAATCTCATAAACGCATAAAAACCCGACGCCTAGGTATTTTTTTTAAAATCGTTTCACACAATGAACATTTTCTTTCTCGCTTTTTCTCAACGTCTAGTTTCAACTTTTGGGTTGCAGCTGCGAGATTCGGAGACAGTACGTAGCCTTCTGTTACCTTCAAAAAAAGGATTTTGTTTTTGAAAAGTTGCAACAACAACAACAACAACAACAACAACAACAACAACAAAAAACATTTGTAACACAAACGTGTACGTTTCGCCATGGATATTTAACCTTGTTTTTTTTTAATTTAATTATATTGTTGCCTTTAAAATGTAGTAATTCAGTAACTTTAATTCAGTAGTTCTTAATAGTTTTCCTGCACGGTGTGCTTGTCTGGCTGTAAATACAGTATTCATATAGGTTACACTGATATTCTGAAAAGGCACTTTTGACCTCAACTCAAAAATACAGCTTTCATTGTTTTGCAAATGATTGTCTTGGGTACACTTGTAACGTCAAAGTTATTTACTATATGTACAGTATGTGACACGAATAGCCCGAGCCTTCAAAACCTGTTAATGAAAATGCTCATCGATTTTTAAAAGGTAACTTAGATGAAGCGGAGCACTCTTCCGCTGAAAAGTACATTTCAAATTACATCCTTGCTTTATTACATTTATGAAGAAATATCAAGAGAGACATGGGTCTTAAGGTGACCCATACTGTACAGCATATAATATTACTTCTATACCACCACGGCCCAGAAAGTATACTAAGCACGCATCCATAACAGCTTTAACCCCACCTGAAGGAAACAAGATTTTTAACTTCTAGCACTTTCAGAATTATTTTTCAAGACCCAATTAATTCATAAGTTAAATTACTTTTTTTCCTCGAGTTTGGGCGCAGTAAACCTGAAACCCAAACCAGCAAATCTGTAGGTTAGCTACAGTATTAAAGCGTTTAATAAGAACAAAAGAGAGGTTATTGGACCTATCAGTTGTTAGCTAATTGATCCCAGGATCTCGTCCAGATTCTCTTTGAAAGAAGCAAGGAGATCAGTTTGAACAGCAAGGCTGGGAGGCTTGCCCCACACTCCCACAGCCCTTGGTGTAAAGAAATGCCCCCTGTTCGCAGTTTTAAAGAGTCGCACTTCCGTGTAGTTTCCTCCTGTGTCCTCTGAGTTCCCCTGTCGATTGTGAAGAAGCCCACTGTGCTGACTTCATTCATGCCTTTGAGGGGGAATGCTTGTACCCGGCTCCCTTTAAGTCTCCTTTTTCCAAGAATGGGTACTGTAGGTCCGGGTAATTTAGTCTGTCAGTGAGGGCATCCCGTTAAGCTCTGGAATGTACACGATACAGTCACGCTTTTCTGGACTGGTTCACACTCAGAAGTAGTCCAATATTAAAAAAGAAACCAGTGTTCAACAAATTAAAACGCAGAGTGTTTATATCAGAGTAGGTGTTTTATGGCGTAAAGTAACAATTCAGAAACTCGAGGCGGAAACTACCCGTGTGTGACTTGACACTGAAGGGTCTATGTGCGCTTCTACAACATCAGCAAAGACGAGGCAGTTCGTTCGAATTTTAACATCGCAAGTATGAAGTCATGCAGTCGCTTCTGGAAAAAAAAACTTCATCTTCAATATACAGTAGCTTAGAATAAAAGGCAGAGTTGGTGTTAGAAACCCCAGAGTCCCGTTAGGGCCTGAGAACACCTGCTGTACGAAGTGCTGCATTGCTCTCCGGAACCGCAGGGAGCCGCTGAGGTTTGGCAGGCAGGATTCTTGGAGAGCAAGCAGTGAAAAAGGAGGACAAACGGTGCGCCTGCTGTAGCTGCAGAAAACATATCTATTTCTAAAAACAAATCCTAAAACAGTACGAACTGGGAAAACAGCTCTAGTTCTTGTAACAAAGACTGCATGCTGTATTGTTGTACACTTGATAAATAAACTTTGATTGGTTGATTGATTGATTGATTGATTGATTGGTTAATTGATTGATTGGTTAATTGATTGATTGGTTGATTGATTGATTTTGTGCCTATCGTTTAAAGTTTGGAGGTTGGGGGCGCTCTCTATCCGTCACCTGAAAATGTTAGGGCTTCATAGCCCAGCAGAGGGAGCCAGTGTCGCTGATTCTGTCTTGTAACTAGAGGGCCGGTAACACTGCGGGAGACGCGCAGGTCACAGACCCCGGTCAGTCACAGTGTTTACTGTGGCCTTTCCTACTTACTGTTTGCTTTCAACAAACATTCCCTTAACGTTAGGCAATACCAACCTCAGATCATTACGAAGAGAGTTGTTTAAAAACATGTGTAAAAAGAATATGAAAATTATTTCTCAAAAACAAATACGATGAAATAGTGATTTAAACCCTAATGTATCCCCTTACAGAGATTGTATAGCTTGTCAGTGGTTTAACAAAATTAAGGAATCTGTTTAACATAAGCTTTAAACCTTTTCTACTAAAATACAATTGTTATAGAAAATGAATTAGAAAAACTAAATGAGTGCTACAATATTTTTCTCATGATTCCATATATTGTACGAGATCTCTGGGTCTTTTGCTTTTATTGATCAATAGCAATCAAATAAATACTGCATTCGGGGATTTCGTACATGGTGGATTGATCTTTCAGAAGGTGGGAATGATTGCCCAAGGGCAGCTCTGGAGGGAATGTTTAGTGTGGAGTTGGCATGTTCTCCCAGTGCCCCTGTGAGTGTTCACCTGATATTCTGCCTTCCTGTCACCTTCTAAACCTGCGCTGGCTGGGAGAATTGGCCTATCTGTCCCTGTGTGGGACACCATGTCCAAGCTGCAGTCCGGCAGAGAGCCCTGTACTTCTGCGCTAGGCTCCTGGATTCCTGCAGAGACAGGCCTGGGCAGCATTTCCATAACAGACAGACGACGTCGTTAGTTGCCCACAGCCCTTACAACAGGTGTGATAAATGTCTTTGCCCTTTACCCACTGCAATCAGCCCCACCAATCGTAAAGCTCCTCCACCAAAGAGCACACCAACACCCTCTTGTTTTGCTGAAAGCTGTTCTTCTGCAGCAGGGCCCGTGATTCTCAGTCCAGCTTTGACCTGAAAAGCTTAAATTGAACCACTGATTCAAACCCGTGGGACTCGGCTGACCCTGTGGAGGCCCGTCAAAACGAGGACTACTGAGTTCTGTACCAGCAGCTACCTGGAGGCTGAGAGATGCACAAATTCTGCACTTTAATCCGGAAATATTTGCACTGCTCATTGTTATTCTACCAGATCACACTGTTATTTATTTTATTACTTGTGTGTGTTGAGGAGGGTATGTGAATGTGTTGGGTGGATACTGTCTGTTATTGGCTTTGTGTTATATATTCGTATGGTCTTTTAATTGTGTGAGCTCACCCAACCACATTCCACACAACTGGTTGTTATGGCAATTAAGTGTTGAACTTGAACTCCTCTCGTTTATAAACCTTCTGTTCTAACCTAATTCTAATCTAACCACAAAAGCACCTAATGCAACTCTGAGAATCGCCTGTCGTTTGCAAAGAGGAAAAGAGCTGAAGGCCTGTCTGCCACAGTGGACTGTTTAACACAGTCAATAGACTCACCATTGGTA